AGCAGGAGCGGGAGGTGTGCGTGTGGGGGACGCTTTTTGCTGTGTCGCCCTCCATCGCAATGACAATTGATGACGGTGGAAATGCAAATATCACTAGTATTTTTTTTTTGGCAAGAAAATATCACTAGTATTGGGAACTCCCTTTTTTTAGAATGGGAACTCCTCTTCGTGCCCATGGAAGAATGGGCTACATAAATTTCGTACCGTCTTCCATTTTGCCACACAAATCTTCACCGGTTAAATTCGACGACATGGTAAAGGTCAGTCTTACTGTAAGAGTGAAAATCACTGATTTAACCTCGCACACTAGTTGGAGACGACGACAACGATGTTGGTCATATCCTTTGTTGGAGGTGTCATTGTCTAAACTAGACCTTGTAGCGCTTTTCTTACATTGCGGACACGTTTCTTATGTGGACAACATTCTAGTAACTACAAAATATTATGTTGGTATTCACATAGGATGTGACAAGGGTTTACCTTCCTCTCTCTAGACACAGTCTTCTTTATTTTGCCGCTCTTGACAACTTTGTGATAAATTTGTGGATGTGTGTATCCTTGGTCATAGAATTGGATTACAGTATGTGCACCAAGTATACTACACACAACTCGTTCTCAATACTGTCGACAGCGAAAAATGTATAGATGATGTGCAAAGCATAAAAACCTAAGTTGTTTCCCAGTGAGGACATATAATCCCTAAGGAGACTAGAGAACTACATATGTGAACAATGTGGTGCTTTGGTAGTTGACACCATGATGCTTGATCAAGGAAATAACATTAATGCCTACTGGAAGTCCCAATCTAGGGATCCGGATTTCGGGCCTTTGGCAATTCAACACACCTTGGAAGGTGCCACCGATACATACCTTTGGGAGCGACGAAACATAGTTAGTGGTCAACTTGAGGTATGAACCATCCACATTGTCGAGAACCCATGGGAACGGGAGCCAGAGGGTGAGAAGTATGAAAACTCAAGAAGAAGTAGGAGAGTCTGAAGAGCACTATGTACAGGACACATGTCCATTATACTCTGACGGCCAAATCACAAGGGAAACTAGTAGTAAAACCGTGAAAACAAACAAAATGGGGAGACAATATAAATATAGTCACCTTGTTGACTCTTTTAACCCTCCCATGCCACTTAATGTCCCATGAACACTATACAACAAGACTTAGTATACAAACATGTGATAGGGTGCAGCTCTTGCTTTACCATTTAGAAGCATGAATGTTAAGTTACTCGACAACAAGCTTGCCTGCGGACTTGCACTACTGGAATCAGCTTCTTTGCCGTCCGCCGGACGGCAAAGGCACTGATCACGGACGGCAAAAGCCTTTGCCGTCAGCCAGCGGACGGCAAACCGTCCGGCTGAACACGTGCCAGCAACGGCCTTCTTTGCCGTCCGCTACCTGGAAACGGACGGCAAAGGATTGTGCCGTCCACCGTTGGTAGCCAGCAGACGGCAACGATTATGGATGGCAGTGAGGTGAGATGAGAGCCATTAGGGCTTAACGGCGTGCTTTGCCGTCA